CCCCACCCGCCACGCCCCACCTCAACCTCGCCGTTGCATGTAAGGCGGCGGGTATGGGCTGTCAGTGGAAAGAGAAAGGAGCGACGGAGATGGCGATAGAAGTTCGCGAGAGAGGGAGAGAGCGAGGAGAGAGAGAAGAGGGGGAGAGAGATGCTGGTGGCCGGCCTCCTTTCCGAAGTTCCCATGTGCCCGTTTAATAGGCTGCTCAGGTATGTGATATGGAGGGGGGACCGAGGGGAAGAGAGGGAGCGTGCGGGGAAGGGAGAGGGAGGGAGAGAGGGGGGGGGGAGGGGTGAGGGCGAGGGCACACACAAGTGCATGCGAGTGTTTTCGCGGCTTACCGGCAGGATCAGCAAGCCGCTCAGGGTGTCCTGCTGCGGGCGGGGCGCGCGTCCCCCGCCGCCCTGTTGTAGGCCCTCAAGCTGGCCATGCTGGAATGTCGTCGGGGCGAGTTTGAGGCAAAACGCCTTCAGAACTGCATAATGTGCATGCGCTTCGGTCGCTGTGTTGTCTGCACCGCGTAATTTGCCGCGCACAATCGCCGATTTCCCGATTTTTTTCCTTCCTTCCCTTCTTCTTTTATTTTCGCGATAAAGCTTCGACAGCAGCTGGTCCTTGGCGCCGCACCGGTGCGCACACACACCGGACCGTGTACAGTCATTATGCGATATTCTTCCATGCGATTTTCTTCCTCGACCCATCCCCACCACTCCCGGGAGGCGGTCGAGAGCCGGCTGAGGTGTGACAGGTGACGAGTCGCTCCGGCGGCCGGCGGGCCGGGGATTAGTGACCCTTGGAGAGTGGGCTGGCGCGTGGTCAACTGCGGGCATGGCCTGGGCGCCTCGCTCGTACTTGGTCAACTGCGGGCAAAGCCTCTTTTGACAGCTGGTTCCGGGAAGCCCGGGGCGCCCGGAGTGCCGACTGCGGGCACGGGAGTGCTGGGTTGCCTACCCTGCCGGCGCTCTCTGCCGCTTCCCGCACCCCACACCCCGCCCGCACCCAGCCTGCCGGAGTTCCGACGGCACACTGAGTGCACACGCGTCATTAGCGCTCCTTAACACGTCGCTTGTGGCATGACCACTATGTGGTCACGCTCCCCATGTAAAATCAAAGGCACCAAAAATGAGCAGCACGGAATGTGTTAATTCCTGAAGTCAGGGGTCGTGGTCCTATGACAGCGTTGCGCGGAGCGATAGCGAAGCGCAACGCTGCATTAATAATACTATTACTGATTTTATGTATTGAGTTAGGTTTGTTAGTTGTGGTTTGCTTCTTATTATTTCAAATAGACACTTGGATGCACACGCTAGTCGCGGCGCAAGTACGGCCGAGAGCGGCAGCGAGCGCCGGCGGGGTAGGCAACCCAGCACTCCCGTGCCCGCAGTCGGCACTCTGGGCTAGCCGGCGGGCGGGGCTCGGCTTCCCGGAACCCTCGTCAAAAGAGGCTTTGCCCGCAGTTGACCAAGTACGAGCGAGGGGCCCAGGCCATGCCCGCAGTTGACACAACGCCAGTGGGCTAAGCTGGGCCGTTCGCCTGTTCCGATCTAACTGTGTTCTGTTCGAAAAACGTTCATTATGTTCGTTGCATCGTATTTGTGTTTGAAAGACGAATCCATGCGTCCAAACGGCATGTCAAAACTCCAATTTTTAGTTTTTTAGCAGATATGTTTGGCAAGGGTAAACTTCTTCCATAAAAAACTAAAAATTGGAGTTTTGACATGCCGTTTGGACGCATGGATTCGTCTTTCAAACACAAATACGATGCAACGAACATAATGAACGTTTTTCGAACAGAACACAGTTAGATCGGAACAGGCGAACGGCCCAGCTTAGCCCACTCTCCAAGGGTCACTAATCCCCGGCCCGCCGGCCGCCGG